TTTGAAGTTGAGATGCTGTAGGCTTCAAGGACGAAGCCTAATTTAAGTGGGGGAGAATTGTAATATCCCGGAATCGCAAGAGTAGAGTTGAAGGGCTAAAATTGTAAGTTTCGGAGGGTGACTCGGCGAGTCCATGGATAGACTCGGCGAGTTAGGTCGCGACTATGGTCGCGTATCAAGTGGCCTACTCGGCGAGTCCAAAGATGGACTCGGCGAGTAGGTGCTGTCTGGAGAAAACCCTAATTTTCAGGGTTGAGCCCTATATAAAGAGCATTATGCCCCTCCACAGCCTCCCTTATTTCCCCCTTGAGTCCCAGAAACCCTAAATTCGTGCAGAGTCCCTTTGTGGAGCAAATTAGAGCTTGGAGAGGTGTTGGTTGAAGAAATCTTGAAGAAGAAGTGGCTTGGATCAAAGGGCTTTGCTTGGATTCGAGTTTCATTGCTGTTGAGGCATCCTTTGGAGGTAATACTTTCGTTCTTGGGCTGTGTTTTCCAAGTTTCTCATTTTGGGGTTGTGTGGGGAGCTTGGTTGTGTGGCATCTTCATGTATGGAGGATGGATCTGAGGTTGCTACCTCAGATCTGGAGTGGAGAAGATCTTAAGAGCATTAGAGCCCCTGTTCTTGTGTTGTTAATGGAGCTACCATGTCCCAAACCTTGGTTCTAAGGTGAATAAGGCCTATATCTCTTTAGATTCACGTAAAGTTTGCCACTGTACGTGATGGATTGATTGTAGGAGGTTGGATCTATGTTTTGGATCAATTGCATGGCTTGAGATGCTTCTGTATGGATTCAGACCGGTGGTACTCGATGAGTCACATGGGTGGAGTCGACGAGTTGCTTGAAGATGGCCTGGAACTCGACGAGTTGGAAGAACAACTCGGCGAGTAGGTTGAAGATAGCCTTGGACTCGACGAGTCTGTTCTTGGACTCGACGAGTCTTGTCGAGGAGTCCCAATATTTCTGGTTGAGTCGAGGAATCGGTGAGTCAAGGGATGACTCGGTCAGTTGGGTGCGAGTGGACTTAGAGTTGTTGGACTCGATGAGTCTAGAGGCGACTCGGCGAGTTGGGTCGCTGATTGAAGGAAGTTCTGAGCATATGGACTCGGCGAGTCATCGGGTTGACTCGGCGAGTAGGGTCAGCCAGGGGTTGACTTTGACTTGTCCAAGGTTGACCAGTTGTCTTCCAGGGGTATTTTGGTAATTAAGGGTATTTATTGAGTTGTATGTTTTGATGTTCAGTGGAGGAGTTCGTGTCAGAGTTCGGAGCAGAGAGATCTTATCCTTTCAGCCGACAGTTTCGAGGTGAGTTATCCTCACTATATCAACAGGGTCTAAGGCATTAAGGCCGGCCCTTTATTGGATTGAGATTCGGATATGGTTATTATGTTATTGTTTGATGTGTCTGCATCCTGGTAGCTAGGATGGTACATGCTAGGAGACCTTGTCAAGGTCAGTTCCCCGATATACAAAGTGATGCTATGCTAGTGACCGGTTAGGTCGGTAACCTGGGTAGGGTAATGATATGCTATGTGATCTGTTTGTTCGGATTGTTAGCTATGACTGTGATATGATTGTATGTTTTGTGCACATGGTTGTTTGGACTAGAGACGGGTTGAGGCGGGTCCTGCTTTGTGTTGTTAATGGAGCTACCATGTCCTAAACCTTGGTTCTAAGGTGAATAAGGCCTAGATCTCTATAGATTCATGTAAAGTTTGCCACTTTACGTGATGGATGGATTGTAGGAGGTTGGATCTATGTTTTGGATCAATTGCATGGCCTGAGATGCTTCTGTATGGATTCAGACCGGTGGTACTCGACGAGTCACATGGGTGGACTCGATGAGTTGCTTGAAGATGGCCTGGAACTCGACGAGTTGGAAGAACAACTCGGTGAGTAGGTTGAAGATAGCCTTGGACTCGGCGAGTCTTGTCGAGGTGTCCCAATATTTCTGGTTGAGTTGAGGAATCGGTGAGTCAAGGGATGACTCTGTCAGTTGGGTGCGAGTGGACTCAGAGTTGTTGGACTCGACGAGTCTTGGGGGGACTCGGCGAGTTGGGTCGCTGATTGAAGGAAGTTCTGAGCATATGGACTCGGCGAGTCATCGGGTTGACTCGGCGAGTAGGGTCAGCCAGGGGTTGACTTTGACTTGTCCAAGGTTGACGAGTTGTCTTCCAGGGGTATTTTGGTAATTATGGGTATTTATTGAGTTGTATGTTTTGATGTTCAGTGGAGGAGTTCGTGTCAGAGTTCGGAGCAGAGAGATCTTATGCTTTCAGCCGGCAGTTTCGAGGTGAGTTATCCTCACTGTATCAACAGGGTCTAAGGCATTAAGGCCGGCCCTTTATTGGATTGAGATTCGGATATGGTTATTATGTTATTGTTTGATGTGTCTGCATCTTGGTAGCTAGGATGGTACATGCTAGGAGACCTTGTTAAGGTCAGTTCCCCGATATATAAAGTGATGCTATGCTAGTGACCGGTTAGGTCGGTAACCTGGGTAGGGTAATGATATGCTATGTGATCTGTTTGTTTGGTTTGTTAGCTATGACTGTGATATGATTGTATGTTTTGTGCACATGGTTGTTTGGACTAGAGACGGGTTGAGGCGGGTCCTGCTTTGTGCTGTAGGCCAAGATACCCAGGGCAGACCGGTTATTCCGAAGGCCCAGCGAGCGGTCTGGAAAGGCTGTAGGCCCCACGAGGGCGATCCAGACGTGCCGAGGCTTGGAGAGTGGACCAGGCCGACTGAAGGCCCGATGCGGGTGGACCAGTCACACTGCAGACTCAGAGACTGGACCAGGTGGGTTGAAGGCCCGAAACGGGCTGACCAACCCCACTGTAGACTCGAAGGACATGACTAGACATGGAGGATGGATCCGGTGGACTGAAGGCCTAATACGGCGGACCAGTCACACAGTAGACCTGATATGCATGGTTGTTCTATGTTCTGTTATGTTATGTATGTTTTATATGTTTTGGACCGGAAGGTCGCAGCCTGGAAGGGCATATATGTGGTTGGTATTTTGGGGGTATCTCACTAAGCTTTCGGGCTTACAGTTGTGGTTATTGTTTTTCAGGTTCTTCAGGAGACCATGGCAAGGTGAAGGCACGATCGTACCGCTCCTCATGATTTTGTAGCAATGTGATTCTGGGGATATGCTAAATGATTTGTATTGAAAACCTTTTTGTAAACAATTTAATGAAAATCGGGTTGTTTTGAAAAATTTAAATTGGTTGTATTTTTCGGATGTTACAACTCTGATTTTGAAATAAAGTATACACAAAACCGGTCTTTTCTGGCCGTGATTTTCGGGATGTCACAATTAATGAATATATTACTAATTATATTAGGTAAAAAACATATATTTATGCATCCATATTTTTACATATTACATCAAATTTACTAACAAAATTATATTCATTTGCAAAAAAAAAAAAAAAAAAAAAGTTCTTCCAATTTACACATTCACATTTTAGGTACAAATGCATATATTCATATTTCATATGCACAATAGGAATGGGTAGTTTTTTTTGATATAAAAAACAAAAAAATGCTACAAAATTTTAGAAACGTTTTCATATCTTCACATCAATATTTCCATATTTTCTTCAATTATCATTTTCACCTCTTCAATATTCACCGCAAATTCTTCCAAATCTACAAGAAAATTAAAAAAAAATGATCAATTCAAAAACACTCACAAAAATTCATGTCATTTATATCTAAATTGCATGTGATTTACTCATGATTTACATTTGATTTACCCATGAATACATTTTTTCATATGTAATACATTTGTGATTTACATGTGAATCATATGTGAATTACAAAAGAAATATATTTCAATTACATATAATTGATATGTGAATTGTATGTGAATTACGTATAATTCACATGTAAATTACATGTAATTCACATATGAATTCACATGTAATTCACTTGTGATTTACATGTGAATCACATGTAATTCATATGTAAATTGCATGATATTTACATGTCAATCACATATAATTCATATGTGATTCACTTGTGATTTACATGTGAATAACATGTAATTCATATGTGAATTACATGTTATTTAACCACCAACTACAAACACCAAACTACCACCATCAAATATTCATATACATATATAATTGTCATCAAATAAAACATGTATAATATAATAAAACAACCAACATATCTATACAATCTCATTTAGGCAATCTTCTCTCTGCAACATCTCACAATATTTTGTCCTAATGTTGATGAAACCTGAAACAAATTTCTCATAGAATGATTTGAATAATCAAAATATATATTAACAAACAACCAGATTGTTAAGAGAAATCAATATTAAGAAATCAGGCCTTCTACCAGTGCTAATTAACAAAAAACATAATAAGTGAATCACAAGACGATATATACAATTTTAGAGATCATAGCCGATGAATCTAAACATCGCCTTTAATCATATGATTAACGAAAACCTAAACGATCAAAAGAACATAATCAATTACTGTTGCTAACAACTCTAATGAAACCTGAAGATTGCCTTTAGTCATGGTGGAAACATTAGTAAATATATCATTAACATACATGGAAATTTTGACTACTACATTCTTGAGTTGCGTCTAAGCCAAGGTTACGCATTACAAAGGGTAAAGGTAAACAACACCTAAACATCACCATAACATCAACAAGAAAACCATTTGTTGGGTTTTGTTTTACATAAAAACAATTTCCAACATCATTCTAGACACTACCATTACCATGTCAGCAGCACCTACACAACCGTAGAACCAAACTTAAAAAACTTTTACTACCACTACTACTACATTCTTTCTTCACATGATATGCCACACGCTTAATTCCTCAATTCATGTTTGCATAATATCTGTAACAAACAAACAAATATGAGCACAATAGCTGCTACATTTCATATTTATCCTCCAAAATCAACTTCTTTTTTACTGAATAAAGTGACACACCAGTCCATGTAAGTTGAGAAGACAAGACTATTGCTCGAATAAATGGTGTTTAACCAACGCCTCTGGTATTCCCATTGCTGAAATGCTCTCACATCCAAATAATTCCTTCACCTTTTCATCACAAACAATCATCACTGGATTTCTAGGATCCTATCATGCAAAAAAACCAAATAAACTACACTTCATTCATTTTTAAGCCTATTATTGTTACCTATTCTTGTGTTACCATATTTTCAGACATGGCAACAAACTTCTGCACCTGAAGTGCAACAATCAATTAAATTATTAGACTAATAGCCGATGAATCGGTCGATAAAAAAGTGTAAATATCATCTGGTAATAATCAAATTAACAAGTATATTACTAAGATTTCTTGATAGAAATCACCTATTTCAGGTCTATAGGACATTCCCTGTATGTATATACAATATTCAATAAGATTAACAAGTATATTACTAAGATTTCTTGATAGCAAATTAAGAAATTTGACCTATCAACTGTTTTTGGCATTCAAATCATTATATGATAACTTCCAAACTTGTAATTCATCAAAACATCCACAATATAAGGCTTAAATAAAGGGAAAAACAAGAAGATCAAACATACTTACCGAAAAAAAGTCATCTACAGTTGGATCAGCTCAATAAAATCTCGACATATTTGAGTAGCAAAAAAGAGACTTCAAATCGCCTCTTTCAGGTCAAGAGGACATTCCCTGTACTATATGTAGGACAAAAATCCATAAAATTGGATAATCATGGCAATTGACAACATTAACAATAATAAATATTACATGATTTCCATATGAAGGATACTGATTGTTTAAATTGGAGTACCTGATTCTTAACATCATTGGTAACTGCACCATATCCTCTCTGATTGAAATCATACGGGAAAAAATTCGTCGGAAGGATCGGATCTCAATCTGATATGCTTTCGGAATTCCGATGCATTCATGTCGAAGAATCGAGTGATGCCATGGACAAGCTGATAGATCAAGCTTTTGGTGATTCTTTGCACGATAGAGGTTAATTTTGAATTGATGCTCTTCTGTTTTCAAACGACTGGTCTCCATCTTCGACCACCTCACCGATGAATACATCAACTCCGATGAGGAAGAGGCGATGAGACGACAAGAATCGAGATGAGAGAAAGAGAGGAGACATAGAGAGATGGAGAGAGAGAGCGAGGGGTATGAGTTATTTATTAACTAAATGCCCCTGATTCATAATAATTATGATGCCCCTATGTCGTTTTTCTAAAGTATTTAAAAAAACACCACCGAGCATCCCAACCGTTTATTATTTTGATCTAATGGCTCACAATCGGGTCTCGGGAAACTTTGAGTTCTCAAATAATTGTTCCTCTCTCTCTCTGTCTCTATGTGTGTGTGTCTGTGTGTATATATATATATATATATATATATATATATATATATATATAGGTGAGATCCGTTGAGAACTCATAGTTTCCCGAGAACCTGAGAATTAAAGGTGAAGCATTGGATCAAAATTAACTTATTAAACGCATGGTCGCTATCTTACCAATCTCATGTAACTTTTTGTATTATTGGATGTATTAATAAAAAGCTCTCAAATTAACATTATAAATCAATTTTTTTAGAATTTTTGTTATAAATATAACAATTTTTTTCAATTGTAGATTTTTTTTTAAATTTTTTCAGAAAACATATATTTTTAAAAATGCTTAAATTTTCTTTTTATTTCAAAAACTGCATTTCTCTTAAAAACAGTAATTGTTATAATCTTAGTAAATTAAAAAAAAATGGAATATTAAAAAAAAACTATAATTTTTTTAACCAAAAAAATCAACATTTTAAGAGCCTATATGCATATTTTTTTAAGTGAATGTATATATATTTCTTGTATTATAATATTCGTAAGTAAATGATAAAAAATATACATTTTTGCTTACTAGTCTATAAACACAATAGTATAAGTATTTTATTCAATACAAAAATAAAATTTAAATAATTAAAAATGCTACAAAATTTTAAAATGCTTTCATGTGTTCGTGTCAAGATTTCTATATTTTCTTCAATTTATCACTTTTCACCTCTTCAAAATTTTCCCAAAATTCTTTCAAATTTACAAGAAAATAAAAAAATGATTAATGCAATAGCATTCACAAAAATATGTACTTATAAATCATATATGATTCACATGTGATTATATCTTTTAATATTAATTTGTGATTGTATATTTAATATTCAAACGTCAAACTCAAAAGAAAAATTAAAAAAATAATTAACGAAGAATGCTCACAAAATGCATGTGTACATATAGATGTAATTTAGATGTGGTTTACATGTAACTTACATATGAATTACATGTAATTCACATGTAAATCACAAGTGATTCACATGTGAATTACATGCGATTTACATGTGAATCGCATGTAGTTCATATATGACTCACTTGTGATTTACGTGTGAATTACATGTGATTCATATGTGAGTTACATTTGATTTACATGTGAATCCCATGTGATTTATATATGAATTACATGTAATTCTTATGTGATTCACATGTGAATTACATGTGATTCATATGTGAGTTACATATGATTTACATGTGATTCATATGTGAATTACATGTAATTCATATATGATTCGCTTGTGATTACATATGAATTACATGTGATTCATATAATCAAATATGATTTACATGTGAATCATATGTAATTCATATGTGATTCACTTGTGATTTACATGTGAATTACATCTGATTCATATGTGATTTACATGTCAATCCCATGTGATTTATATGTGATTTACATATGAATCCCATGTGAATCATATGTAATTCATATATGATTTACTTGTGATTTACATGTGAATTACATGTGATTCCAATATGAATCACATATGATTTACATGTGAATCACATGTAATTCATATATGAATTACATGGTTAATTACAAGGACTTCGGTTGAATATGGACTTTGGAACAATTCCAAGGCTAAACCTAGAAGTTATGGAGTTGCAGATAGGATCATACTGGTTCCATATTCCATAAAGTTTACAAAAGGTTGAATATGTTTTGCATTTTACTAGTATAATAGTTAGTTTGCAACAAAATCACAACTATAAGATTGATGGTGAACATGGAGTATTTAGACAAAGTCCTAAAAGAAAGTTACATCTTATGATGCATTCGAACATGCATTGCTTACAAAGTTGTCTTCCAAACCCAAATATGCATATCTTGTTTTACTCTTACACAACTCCTCATCAAATATGAACTTCTTGTATACAATTATGTATGAATCATTGAAAACGATTTCTAAAAACCAAGCATTTTATAACCATCTAGAATAAATAAGCATCAAAAAAGTCATATACTTACAATTAAACAATTCATTGCATTTTAGCAACAAAAATAAAAAATAAAAATACAGAAACAATAAAATATTGTTTTTTTTAATAAATATAAATCTCAATGGAAAACAAAAAGAGATGTATACCCTCCAGACTCATCAAATACATAATCGTATTCTGTAGATCTAATGCCTGCAGGTGAAAAACAAAATTGAGGGGCAATATTGTAATAAACCATCTTGTAGAAAAAACGAAAAAAAACTACATGCCTACTTACTAGCAAATGGATCAACATTAGATTTGCTATCGTCTTTAGAAAACATGTCAAAAAAAATCATCCTCATTGTTTGCAGTATTATCTGCAGAAGGTATTCCATTGAGACCGGAATCACTCATTCAAAAGGAATTAGGTTGCTTGTTTCCTGAACAAGAAGAGGTGCCTTCCCCACCAGCATGTGCTTTTGTTCATACATAAAGTTATTTAATAACAAATGAACTCAAAGAGAGGATAAGGTGAACATAGCATCCTTGAAGGGTCATGTAAATGGTTTGGGCTAGGCTTAGCATGTGATTTGTTTTGGTTTATATCTATAATTGAACTTTTGTTAGTTTTGTGTTTTGTGGTGTTTACGACCGTAAACGTGTTTACGGTAGCAAACTATGTTTGCGCTCCTGTCTAGTATAAATAGTCTATGAGTTTTTCTTTTGAGGGGTTCGATGCTCTAGAGTTTACGGCTAGTAGTTTGAGTTGTATCTGACGATCCAAGTGTTTAATCGTATGCAAGCTCAATTCATTCATCTTATTCATGTTATTCTTGTCTTGTGATTGTTTGATTATCAGTGATACATCCAGATTTTGGACCTATGAATTAGTATCAGAGAGTAAACTGGTATCAAACTCATTCGATCGAGATATTGAGTATAAGTTGTTATTCTCTTCTATTTGATCTGACATCATCCGTTTGATTGGGATTCCACACTATCGAACGGATCTGATGGATACACAAGCATATTTGGGGACTAACAATTGGTATCAGCGCGTAAACTGGTATCAAAGTCATTCGACCGAGATATTGAGTATAAGCTGTTATTCTCTTTTATTTGATCTGACATCATTCATTTGATTGGGATTCCGCGCCATCAAACGGATCTGATTGATACACAAGCATATTTATGGACTAACAATTGGTATCAGAGCATAAACTGGTATCAAACTCATTCGATCGGGATATTGAGTATAAACTGTTATTCTCCCAGTTTGATCTTCAAATTCTACGTTCTATGCATTGAAGGAACTGATTTTGTTTGAAAAAATCGAGTTTTGAAGGCTATTTGAGAGTTTACTGCCAACCATAAACTTTGTTTACCCTCGTAAAAGAACATATTCAGAAACCGTAATCTCTTAATATTTAAGTATTGTAAACAGTTTTGAAGAACAACAAACCCATAAACCATAAACTCCAAAAACAGTGAATTTATATCGCAAACCCAGTTTACGGTCGCAAACAGATCAACCGTAAACTCCCTTTACGACCATAAACTCTCTTTACGGCCATAGACACTTATTTTTCTAGATTAACCGTAAAATTTTTCTTGGAACTACAAATCACTTCAATTTCAGATGGATTCTCAAAGTCAAACTCAATTTCAAGAACTTGATGTTGTTATGGGCACGACTACTCATATTCTAATGTTGATGTTTGTTGAAGGCTTTCCCAAGTGGAAGTATAGGATACAAAAATACATTAAGATGAAAGATTTCAAGATCTGGAGAAGCATTCTTAGAGAACCTGTCAGAATCATAGTGAATATTGGAGGTCAATTGGTTGAAAAATCTATTGACAATTATATTGATGTGGATTTTGAGTTGATTGAAGAATAGGAAAGAGCCTTAGCCACCTTAACCATGGCATTATCGCCTGATATTGCTCAAGGTTTTCATGAGTACACTTCAGCTAAAGCTCTGTGGGAAGCGCTGATTGAAGTCTATGAGGGTAATGAAAATATGAAAGAGAGTCATCAGGACATGCTGAGCCAGAAATTCAACATGTTCAACTACATTCCAGGAGAGACTCTTGAAGCCCAATGGCAAAGATTCACTACTCTCACAACTGACATGAACATTTCAGGTACTTTCTTGACCAAGTTAGAAATCAACAAGAAACTTCTGAATGCCCTTCCTAGGTCATGGGATATGAATGTTGTCGTGATCAAGAAAACCAAGGACTTGAGTCGTCTCTCTCTTGCTGAAGTCATGGTGGTTATCAAGGCATGTGACATTGATGACAAACAGAGAAAAATCAACCATGTCAACTCTTATTCTACTGCAAATCTTGGATTTTCATCCAATAATACTTTATCATCTTAGATGACTCCCTTAGGTCAAGCTTTCGCAGTTCAACAACCTCATATTCAAACTTTTAATGTTGTACCATCCATTCTTCACCATCAAACTCAAAATGTGTCATTCGCCAACCCTCAACCCATCTCTCAACCAAATTCTGCTCCAAATGTGTCGGTTAAAGCCTCTACCTCGAACTCCAAAGAAACTGATGAAAATCTGGTTCTAGCTGTTGGGCTAGTAAAATGTTATAATGCCTTGGTAGCTGGAGATCTTCCACCTCAACTATCGTTTATTGATTTGGACTAGATACATGCTGAAGATGTAGAGGTGATGGACATTACATGGAAAATTGCCATTGCTGTTTTCAGAGCCAAGCAATTCGCCAAGAAAATCGGGAAAAATAACTAGGCCATGAAT